TGATTTCACACTCACCGCTGTCTGACACTGCAGTATACCAATAAAGCATGGACCTTTACCAACTGGAGAGGTTGCTGCCTACTAAACAAACAGCAAGCTTGATGAGACTATAAGCATGTCAAGCCATTTAACTGTGTATGCATGGAATTACTTCTTTTTTTTTTACTATTATTTTTAGTTTTACCTGTACTGAAGGCTTTTACTCATTCTAACTGGTATTTTGCTGTAAAACTGTCACTGGTTTAATTGTTCTGTCCATTTGCTGGCTGATGCTTTGTCCTAAATATGAGGAAATTGGTTCATTGAGAAGGTGCACCATTCTCCCAGATCCCTGCCACTCCTGCCACAGGCATGCATTTCAAAGCTGTGAAGTTAAAGTGAACTTTTCTCCCTGACATGTTCCTCTTCAAACCAGGCAGAGTTATTGGTTGTGTGTGACATAGGATCTCTTCCTGAGTTGTTTTTTCTTCCGATTTCTCCTCAAATTCTTTGGTACTGTATTCAGGGATGTTTGTACATAGGTTTACGGTTGATGTGTAAGTACTTCTCAAGATGTTTAATTCTAACGAACTGTATCCAGCACTCCAGCTTGTTTTGTTTTATGAGGAAGAGGAGTGCAGCCTGGTGAACTGGTCTCCCTCAAGCTTTCATGGAAGTCAGTGGGGGTTTTATTTTTATGTTGAGGGAGAGCAGAGCAGAGTCTCCATCCCATAACTCCTGTTAGTTCAGCAGCACAGCTGTGCCTGGTTCACAGCTGGAGAGAGAAGAGGTAGGCACCTGTATTAAACTCTTCTCCAGTCTAAGGTACTAAAGTCATCAGTGAAGTGCATATGAAAACTCCTGCCACTTCATCTGGAGCTCTCTGTCCCCCATGTCATTTTGTACTACGTGTCTTTCTCTGACCAAAACTTTCAGGTAGAAGTTAGAGGTATACAGCCCCTGTGACTATGGAAAATTAGGCTAACTGTGTGGCCACAGCAGTGACAGCTCTGTCAGGGAGTTTCTTATTAAAGGGCCTTCATAAATGGTACAGTCAGTAATGCAAAGGACAAAGAGGCATCAGCTTGGGTGTCATCTACCAGACTGGAGTTTAGAAAACACTCATCTGCCCTTAAAGCAGAGAAAATGGGATCTGGATCTCAGAAGTTTACCCTGATGGCAGAGCAGTCTGTGGAGCAGGCCTAAGAGAGAATAAGCACTGCAATGTTCCAGATGTTGAGAAAGGTACTTTTCTGGCTCTTAACACATTTTAATTTCCAATAATAAGCCTCTAAACCTTGAGAACAATGTAACGCTCAACAGTTGAGTTAGAGTGAGCACTGTAGCTGTGCATTAAGCTTTCTAGCAGAATTTCAGTCACCTTCAGTAATGGTTGATGTTTCCTCTCAGTTCCCGTTGAGTAATTTTCACTTCTTGCTGCTCCACAGAGGAGTGACATACACAGGGGCATCTTAACACAGCTGTACTATTCCTTCCTGTTAAAACACAGCATGTAGGGATGGGAACTGTTTCTTCTGAAGGAGATGCAGAACATTAAATGATGTGAGTTTGTCACTCAGCAGTTCCAGGAGGAAAGGAACAGAGGAGGAATATCTTCAGAATACACTGAGTCCCATTTATCTTCCTCACAAAGAGAAGAGCCTTCCCTTGTTAGGGTAAAGTCTCCTATGATTTGAATTGACCTCTGGGAGGAACTTTCTCCATCAACTGAAAAGTAGTGATTTGACCTTTTTTTTCCCCCTGGTACCAAGTGTGTTTTAAAGCAGTACAGCTCAGGCAGCCCAAATCTTCATAGGTACCAACCTCAACACCAAAGTCTATGGTTTAATGTCTGTGCATGACTCCTCAGTGTCTGGAGAGTAAACTGGCTCAGTGGATCTGAGAACCACCCCAGGTATTTTGGCATTGATGGGCTAATCTGGCATACTGTGGTAAAGTACATTTGTGTGATTTGCCACTATCATCAACCGGTGTTTATTTCTCTTTTTAAACCCAAGCTCGGAAAAGAATCAAAGCACTTGCTTAATTCCTGCCCGCTCCACCAAGGATGTAATTTCAGTATGTGCTTAAGCAATCCTTAAGCATCATTTTGTACTTGTCTCTTGGTTTACATGTATATAACTGGCTCCATTATATTTGAAAGATGGCCCAAGTCTGAATCCAAATAAAAATCACTTGGAGAACCAGCAAAGACAATTCCATGTTATGAGCCGCAAACTTTTTAGGCCTCCAATGTGCTGTGCAGTACTACTTGATATCTGGCAACTGACATGCTAATAATTGCCTGTCAATCAATGAATCCTTTAGGGTAAAATGGTAGGAATTTCAGTACCTTGTAAATAAGATTGGTCTTCTCACATCTGCTTTTGTTTATATTCTGCAGTATGTAGTTGATGAGTAGAGCCTGTATGAATATACTCTTCTGTGGCAGGAGGTCAGATGAAACACTGAGAAAAGACCATTTGGTTAATGCAGTTTATTTGTTGCTCATCTCCATGGAAAAAAAAGAGACACTTTTCAGCATTGCCATGACCCATCAGCATGACACATATCCTGGTTGATGGGCAATGGGGGAGAGAAGACCTTTCATTTTCATTTCTTCGTAACTTACTTTCTCACAGCAGAACAGGTTTGTTTCCCACCTTTACCAGAACAACATCAAATGTGTTGATCTTTATGGCTGTGTTGGTTGTAATTAGGCCCCAGAATGTGCTAACGTAACAACAGTTTGAGTCCCTTTTGTAATACAGCCACTTTCTTATACCTAGTTTTAATTTTGACTTGTTCAGCAGTTTGGCAGATGGGATCTAACTGAGCTTTTGCTTGTAGGTGGTGGTGGTTGGAGTTGGTCACTGCTCATGTCCACACTGATACCAAAAAGGAAGATGTAGCATTTCAACTTGCTGCAAAAAATAACTTTGAGAATGTCAGTGCTGTGTTGGTGTGCAGGTCTTTAATCAATGGGGTGTACACTCAGTGCTGTGAGCCACAAGGCACATGTTTTTTCTGATTCCATACTTTTCCCAAGTTGTGTCTTCCAAGTGTAGGTTAGGAAGTCTTTTTAATTCAGTGTCCATTTGATATTTTATAGTTTGAAATACTTGAGTTGTACTGCTAAAAATTCCAGTACATCAGAGGTTAGATCTAGGATTACAAATAGGTAGGTAGATATGTTGATATATCTATTTCTATCTATCACAGATAGGTGCTATTTAACTTCTAGACTGTAATGCCTGTGAACTTCTCACAGAGGTGCAAATCATTTACTCACTGTCATATGACAGGCATAGTGCCAGAATTTCTTTGTTTCCACGTTTGAGGTGATACCACTTTTCTTATGTCTTTTGTAATGTAGAGTTAAGTACTTTTAACCTTACAACCTTGCTATTAATCTGTTTCACTATTTCTCAATGATGAATTCCGTATCTTTTGAAAACACTGTATACAGTTTTGTGCTAGTGTCAATAAAATTGACATTTGTGTAACAAGCTGTGGCATTTTCTCAAATTTCACTGAACATTGATTTAGTGTGAAATTGTTAGTAAATCATTTCTTGCTAGCTGTAATAATACAGACCTTTATTTCAGACAAATACTGCTTTGACTGATTTATAATAGGCTACATAACTGTCATGATTACGTCAAATGATAACTGTATTGTTTATTTCCTTCTCTTTTCAAAGGAATGACATATAAACATGAACTGGTTTGGAACTGGAAAACATTCATGTTCTAGCAATAAATCCTGAGTTCTTCCAGAAAATAAATAGGTTTTACTACTGGCCTAATTATATTTATTGGTGCCTCTGTTTACTGGAGTATCTCAGCTGTGTTGTAGCAACAGGAACACTTACCTATCATAATCTAGGGACAACATAAACACATGATAGTAAAATGTATTTTACCTTAATTATATACAGCAATGTGTGTGTTTTATATTTAACTCTAGACAGCGTATTAGCTGTGGTAATCAAAAGCTTGTCACATTTTTTTGGTTTAATTTTAATGTACGATGCCGAAATGGTACAGACTGTAAATGTTCTTCCACATGACAGATCCATCTTCTAAAACAGATTTAGATTTTCAGAGGTTTGGAGGAGGGGATAACTGGGAGGACACTGGGCATTTTTGGCAAACTCTCGTTTGTGCAGTCAGTAGTCTGGCTGCCTCCCAGAAGACAAAATGCTAATTGCAGTAATATTTAACGTAGTTTATATGAATCCATTGAAGTGTAATTAATTGTCTAATTCTTTAATATTTTTAATCCAGAATTAAATGGGACTTTATATCTGTGCTAATCTAAAGTTGTCATGCTTTGTGCGTTAAAAGTATTGCTTTTCTTATGTAAATGTAATGCTAGCATTTCCATCCCAAACAATCAGAGGAGCATGGAAAGACCTACAAGGTATAATATACATACTTGTGTTGTGTGTAGAAATTGGGGAACTAGTAGTTTTCTCCCTTCATATTAGATCTGATGACTGGTCTTAGCAGCAGTACTGCTGTAGAAAGTAATTTCTTTTTCTCTAGACATTCAGTAGATAAATTTGTTCTAACTTGTGTCCTGTAGCTCCCTCCCTATGAAGTACTGATTTGAGTATTTTAAGTTCTACTTTGCTAGAAAGAATGGCACTCCTAGGGTGACTCCCTTATTGTATTTATTCTCTTTCATAGAGTAGATTACAACGATGAAAAATTTGATATTAATATGATGTTTAGCAGTAAAAATATTGCAGCTCAATCACGTATGCCTTGATCTGTTCCCTACAGAGACACTAATTTCAGCCAGTATCATCAGCTAAAAGAACACTCCAGTCCCTTGGTTAATGCAAGTGGATGCAGTTCCTCTGGGTTCAAGTCTATTTGGACTAGTTTGAGGACCCTGATGGCTGTGTCTTGTAGTGTAATTTCACATGCTGCAACTTAAGGTTGTAACTCTTTTTGGTACTTTCTGGAAAGAGACTGTCCTAACTGATTTCTCTTTTACCATTTTTTTAGCAGGTTCTCTGACTGGCAGCCCTCACCTTTCAGAGCTTTCCATCAATTCCCAAGGAGGACCATCAGTGGCAAATATGTCTTTATCTCCAAACTTGAGCCCTGATGCCAAGCAGTCATCTCCCTTGATCAGCCCTTTGCTGAATGACCCATCGTGCATCAGGACTGATGATGAGGAAGAGGTCAAAAGAAAGGTAAGGCAGAGGCAGTTTGCCTTGGCTCTCTTCTCCACGTTGTGTTGCAACTACTGGTGTTTGACCAATATCTAGATCCTCTCCAGCTTCCTCATCATAGATCCACACAGATAACTTGAGTTGGGTCACTGGTATCTGCTGTCCTCAGTCACAGTGTGCCCAAGAGCATCCCTGTGCTCCTGAGGCCAAACTCACAGTTTGGAGTGGGTCAGGCCAGAATCACAGAGCTGCTGTAGCTGAGGGCTCAGAGCACTGGATTCATCCTCCTAAACAGAGGTGCAGGAGTTAGGGGCCCCAGCTCCTCTTTAAGCAGCAGAGAGAAGATAGGTAGCTCAGTGTCCCTGAGGTTAACGTGGGATAAATCTGGGCCAGATTAAGAGCTTGTTTTGACAGTGTTTCCTGTAAATCTAGCTTATTTTAAAGGAGTGGAGTTCAGTAGTTTGTTGTAACAAAACAGTCAACCGCAGTGTGTTATTGGAAGGAGAATTTCCAGGTGACAAGGAAAAGGATCAGCACTGAGCCTGTGCAGCTGTGTCCAACCCAGACTCTGCAGTCTGTCTCTGCTGGGAGCACTGCTGGGAGAATTTGGTTGTGGGAGTAGAAATGCCCTCTTTGAACCACAGCCTGGAGCGTTCAGCTGGGAGTGTTTGGCTCAGCCCCATTATTGCAGCAAAGCCATAAGGGAGCATTGCATCCAAAACTGCTTTTAGAAGACAGAAGTGATTTTGTCTGAGCCACGGTGTTCTGGGCGTCTGCTGGCTCGTCCCTCCTGTGCTACAGCACAAGAGGGGGTTGTTCGTAGAATCACAGAATTATTGAGGCTGGAAAAGACCTGAGATCATCAAGTCCAGCCTATGACCTAACACCACCACATCAGCTAGACCATGGCACTAAGTGCCACATCCAGCCTTTCCTTAAACACCTCCAGGGATGGCGGCTCCACCACCTCCCTAGGCAGTCCATACCAATGCCTCATCACCCTCTCTGTGAAAAAGTGCTCTTGTCCTTTTGCTGCCTGCTTTTTCTCCTGAGCTGGAAGCATCTTGGGTTTAAGAAGGTAGAAACTCGGATGGCTTTGCTGGAAAGTGGGAGCATGTGTAAGGAAGATCTCTCTTCTCACTGTGTGAGGTTAGCAAGATATGTGAGAGAAATTTGAGAAGAAGAAAAGCCAAGAAGCAGTTAAGAGACTGACGGTTCTCTGTGCCAGTCCAAGTTACAGCAGCTGGTGCCTGCTGTAGTTTATACCAGCTGATGATGGTTCCTGAGGGGTTGTGTACTGACTAGGAAATGCCCACGCAGTCTCCCCTCTCATCCCTTTTTAGTGTATCCTCTGCATCACTGATCTTCAGGGAGGAAATACAGAAGCAAAGGATTTATGGATGTTTTGCTCTTTCTTTTTGCTTCTCTTGTTGTGTGAGCAACACAGCGCAAGGTCAATTGGGATCCTTTGGCTCTTCACAATTAGGGCATCAAAACCACTTTTGCCCCTTGGATAACACAGGGAGATTCGGGGGAGTTCCCTGAAATTTGAAGTCTGTAGCTTACCCAAAAATTATTCCCCATTCCCACTGTTAGGTTGTCCAGCCATGCTGGGAAAATCCTACAAATTTGATTTTTTGGAAGAGTATTTTTATTGTGGATCCTTACCCTGACAATGAAACTTAGAATAATCAGACACTATTTTTTGTCAGTTTGTCAAATTTGACTCAAATGGTTATCTAGACTGCAGAGGATTTCTTTGTCAACTTCAGAATATATCCTGCTCGAGATGTGTGGAATAAGCTGAAAGGAACATCAGCACCCCAAAGCCGTAGAAATCAGCTTGGTAGAAAAAAGTCTCTCAAAAACCCACAGAAAGTGCTTTTTCGCTTGTGTTTGCAAGGAGGGATTGTGTTCAGGGCTTCAGGCTTAGGAACATTCTGGCATGCATCACAGTAACCACAAGCAAAGGTTGCTCATTTGTAACTCTCTTGGTGATTGTTGTCTGCAGGTTTTTTTCCTACAGAAAGCAGCTCCATAAAAGCAGATGAAAACCTAATGTGTTTACAATTTTGCAGAGATTCCCCACTGAGAAAGCTTACTTCATTGCTAAAGAAGTAGCAACCACAGAACGAACATACCTGAAGGACCTTGAAGTCATCACATCGGTATGTTTACTTGAGCGTTACTCATGCAACACGTGAAGCTCTAGTCAGCAGTAGTATTTCATCTGCTCCATTTAGCATCTCAGCTGCTCCGTGCTACTTCTATATTCTGCGCTGTAGGTATTCTCTGCAGTGCAGAGGAGCACAGCTCTAGAGAGGAAAGAACATGAAAATCTGAAGGTAGAGATTTGCACTGTGGTTAGTAAACATGCACTACGAAACTCTACCAGGTTGAGGAACTTGGGACACAGTTCAGTTATTTTTTCTTGCTCTCATACTTTGTGGTTAAAATTACTAAAAATGCCTGTGGGTTTTCAATGACTTCTCTCAAAACTGAAGTAGCTCTCTAGGGGGTCATATAAATGTTTTATCCTGGATTGAACGCCCTCCATTTAACATGAAATATTGTGGAGTACCTATTTGAATTATTCTGATTTTTCAGTAAGTGAAACTGTCTGTTAAATGAGACATTAATCTGTAGCATCTGATCAGCGTGATTGTTAAAATCACCAAGGCAAATACGTGCCTTCTTTGCACACACACCAACAGCCTTGTTTAACTTCCAAGAGTAATGTGCGCAAAATTTGACCTTAAATAACAATTGTCTGTAGAAGCGCACTGGATCCAAAACCTCTCATGGTATTTCAGCAGAGCTGCTGGCTCCAGACCTCCCAGCTCTTTAATCTCTCAGTGTGTGAAACTCTGAGACACATTGCCACCTCCTGGGTTCAGTGTTGTGATAAGGGGGATGTGCTCCAGGAAAGCGTCTGTTGGTACCAGCTGGGAACCAGGGAGAGGCACCTTCTCCCCAGCTTCTTGTCTGCTCCAGGAGCCCACGTGGCAGACGCGGTTGATCTGAGCCAGCTTAGATACAGCCAGTGTAGGCTGGAGCAGCACAGTTGTTACAGGCAATAAGATCGCTGTGGCTCCGCTGCCTACTTACCCTGGCTTTCTGGGAAGCCAGGCCAGCGAGGGAAGATGCCAGGTTGTGGGATGGTGGCCACTGCTGCCATCTCAACAGCAGATAGGCCGTTTTAATCTTCTATTTCATGCAGTGGCTGCAGAATCAGAAAGTTTTAGCCCTTCAGAGCCAAACCTCATTTCCCACCCTGGACTTGATTCTTGTGGTAGGCAAATTTGAATTTGCTATGTCACCAACTGGCTCTAAGCTAATCATCAGGGCCATCAGCTGTGCCCCACAGATGTCTGGCCCAGGAGGCCACTGAAAGTGAACAAGTAGGCAGCATTATTGGAAAAGGTAATAGGGCCAAGTGTCATCCATGAATTTTGAGACTTCGGTAGGTGTGCAGTTCTTAAACCTTAGGTCTGCTCAGGGCAGAGAGAAAGCAGAGAGAGGAAGGCTTGGGAGGGGTCTGTATCCCAGGTCTGGGTCTGCTCCAGTTAATGCAGTGTCAGTCAGGACTATGGTCACAAAAACCTTCCAGGCACTGCTGGGTGTCAGCCATAGACAGCCGGAGCCCCTCAGGGCAGCGAGGAGGGAGCAGTGTTATCACGTTGAAGATAATCGTCTGTGCCACCTTGGCAAGCCTATGGCTTTACATCACCCATAGGTCTGTTAGGGTGAAATAAAGAGAGTATCGAGCAAATCTGAGCAGGAGCCTGTTGCAGTCTTAACAGTGTTTGGCACTGCCTCTATTTTCTGCTATTAGTGTCTTGTCTTGGAAGTGCAAAGTATCACCTTCTACTTGTTCACTTTGCAAATTGCATTATGTTCTCTATCTACACGCAGCAAAATGGGCTTACTCTACCAACTCCTGTCAAAGGGATTTCAGACAAAACTCGGCAAAAGAAAACACAGAGCGTGTTTTTGGTTTTTACTGGAACATCTGTAAATGTTGCAACAATACTCTTGCACCTACAGCATTTGCAAGTTCAGTTTGTATTGACCAACTAGTTTAGGATTGAAGAGAATTTTCAAGATTTGATCAGTGATGGCAAAGGGGAAGAGAGTTTCTTTTTTAACTTTGCAGAGCCTGACTGCTAATAAAATCACCAGTTCAGCATGGAGGAGTGTCAGGGGTAGCCTGGGTTGTATTCCTAGTGCCAGCTAAATAAGGTCCTTACTGGGTTAGGTGTATTTGGGTTAAGTGCATAAGGACTGCGAATTATCATACCTGCTGCATTCCACCTCCCTGATAATTCTGCTTCTCTTTTTCTTTGTAGTGGTTTCAGAGTGCAGTGAGTAAAGAGGATTGCATGCCTGAAACACTGAGAAATCTCATTTTCTCCAACTTCGAACCTTTGCACAAATTTCACGCTGGTTTTCTCAAGGAGATTGAGCAGAGACTTGCTCTGTGGTAAGATTGTTATTTAGCTGTGTTATTTCATGCAGTGTAGCATTTTTGCATTCCCTTTTTGCTAACTCTTTGTAGTTGTCACTGTTGCAGTGATTTGTTTGTGAAAGTCACAGATGTTGGTTATTACCAGATGGGGTATACTGAATTCTGCTTTGAACGTGTTTACTCGACAAACTCTTGTTCAGATATCTCAGGTACAAACATGGTAAATGAGATCATAATTCTGAATGAAGCTTTTCTCTTGCCAAATGTCAGTGTTCCTATTTGGCAGCTCTTCTGAAAAACACGTTGCACACAAGGCTTACCAGTAATAAAGAGGGAGTGGTGAAGGACCAAGTCATGTTTCTGTCAAATAGGTGTAGGCTGGGGAGGATTTTGGAGACCAGCTTCCCGTTCTGCAGCACTGCAGCTTTGACGTCTCAGGGTCTACAGTGCACTCTACAAATTGACAATGTGTTAGAAGAGGACACTGGGCTTAAAAATTATCTATCCTTAGCATAATAGTGATGGTAAAACATGACATTTTTGAAATAGCTGTGAAGTGAGTAATTCTTCCCTGGCTGGGCTCTTAACTCGGTTCATTTGACCACTGATATCTGAGCAGAGGCAGCACACAGAAGCTCTCTCTTTGCTCTGATTAGGCCTGTCTGGACTAGATTGTCGTGCTGTGTGTAGGCATTTTTTTGGTAGTTTATCTTTGGCGCTGTGAGGCCAGCTTTTCCTTCTTAGTTAGAAAAGCGACAGTGGAAAATGACATGAAAGCAAGAGCAGGCAGACCTGATGAGTGCTAAACAGTTTAATGCCTCTTTGACTAATTAATCAAAACAAAAGCAAAACACAGTCTTAGAGTATGTGATGTTAGCCCTTGTGATGCGAGGTCATTGAATGAGAGCATAGCACATTGTAGACTGGTGCTGTCCAGACCCACCCTGCACAGTCCCAGGATTAGTGGGTATTTTCTGGGGAGCGGGGAATGTGGTACTGCCTCTGTATTCCAAGAAGGCCATTTCAAATGTTACAAAAGAGTGATTGTTTCTCCAACCATGGTGTAGGATTAGCAGTAGTTGGGGTTAATCCTCCCCCTACTTGGGGTTAAGGATGAATGGTGAGAAAAGGAAAATTTATACACTTAGTAAAGGGCCAAGATCTGCTCTTTATCAGACCAGTCTAATCTAACAAGCTTGCTGGGTGCTGATTCCTGGGGCACATGTTGAAACAGAGATTCCCCCTATATCCTTCTGGTTGCTGGTGACATTGCAAGTGGACAATTGCCAACCTCCTGTTCAGGTGTGATGTTATTCAAAAATTGGATGATGCTCTAGTAACAGCCTGCTGTGCAAATGTCACATTTTAGTAAGTGGGGTGAGGTATGTTAAAAGACAGACAGAATATTTAGGCTTTTAGACTTTCTATGGTTTTATTTTGATGCTGCTTTTCAGTTAGCTTGTTTTAGAGATGAGTAAGCCTTCTGTTTTCCAGCTTTTCCTTGTGTCCTAAGGCTACAGTTTCACACAGCAGTAAACCACAGTTTAAGGCTCCTAGCGTCATACTTAAACTGCAATTACTCTACCATGCGAAGTGCTGATCTGCTACAAAGTTACTTTGCAATCCAAATTTGTTCAGAAATATTCTGCTGAGGTAACTGTGTCCCAGCTGGGCACCGCGCTGTGACTTTGTCAGCTCAGCTATTGCATGTCCTTCCACAATTAGCATAAAACCGCTGGGAATTCTCTTGTTGGCTGCTCTGATGTATTTGACACAAATGCAGTCACGTTCCTGCCCCCTGGTTTGCATCCAGTTTGCAACCAACAGCATGGGTTTACCTAACACTGTTGTAGATGGTGTTCGTTTTTAAAGTTCTGGAAGATTTGAATATGTGCCTTAGGAAAGGAGGTGGATTTGCTGGCAGGTGTTATTTTGGAGGTGTTGGTGTTTTCATATGGTGCCACAGATGCCAAGACAAGCTGCAAGCAATAAACTATCCTATAGAGACCACCGTTTAATTAAACAGCGAGTGACAAAAATAAACAGCTCCTCAGGGTGTAGATGAAGAAGCTGGTGGCAATGTGGTGGGAACTTTCTTCATTGGTGTGACCAAGGTCACCTAGCTCAGCATTCATCCTGTCATGATTGTACCCGTGTCTTTGGCCCCGGGTGGCTTGAAGCCAGCGGGGCTCTATTCACCACCACAGCACAGAGCCTCTGCACCAGCTGTGTTGCTCCTCAAGGGGCCTAGCAGAGCCAGTGGCACTGCCACAGGCAGGTACAGGCAGGATTCAAGCCTACTCATTTATATCTGACTCTTCTATGTCAGGTCTTTTAAATTTCCAGGTGGATGGAGCAGGGAGGAAGGTGGGACGCATGTCCCGAGACACGAGCGTGCTCTGCATTCGTCAGAGGATTGCGTGTCCTATGAAGAAAGGGCCTTTGAATGAAAGGGTTGTGGACTTCATCAAGCTACTGGAAGGTCCTAAGTGCGTTGGGAGCTTGTCTGAGAGGACGAGCCTCTCACAGCCACTTCTCTGTGCTCCCCTAGTGAGTAGGATGCTGGGTTTTATCAACTTGAAGTGCTCGCTGGGCCTACACATCAGTGTGTTTGTCTAGGGTTTGTTTCAAACTTTGTGCTGCGTGTCGGAAGCTCTTACGGGAGGCCATTCCCTGCTCTCTTAGGACTTGGATCGCGTTGAAGCTGATGCTCTTCAAAAGAGCCATGAGGAGAGGAAGGCCAGCAGAGGATTGCGCACAGCAATTGTTAGATGGCTCTGTGGCTTTAATTTGTCAAAACATCTATAGACTTTCAGTATTTGGCTCAAAGAAGCTCAGGTTGTGCACATTGTTAAAAGCATTTCTGGCTTGCTCAAAGGCTTCTGAAATGTTTGAACCTGCCATCAGAGGCAGACTGTTGGCTACTGAACATCTTAAGGGCTGCTATCCTCCTGACCTAGTTATAGATTCTGGCAGCTCTGATTTGTTTCTTTACACAATTCAGCCATTTTTCTTTTTAGTACTGCATTTTCTAAAAGCAGCCAATCTCAGTGTCTAGTGAACAGCGAGAAAGTTTTTAACAAGACGTGAATTGACACTGACACCAATAACCAAGTGCAGAATATAGGAAGTTGCTACATCTTTCACAGCAGATTCTTTCTGGCCACAGAACTGAGCATTTTCCTGGTGTTTTTATTGCGCAGCATCCTAAGATCAGTCATACCATGCTCTGGTCAATGGGATATCTCAGTGACATAAAGCTGGCTCCTGTTTCTCAGGGCCTGAGAGATTTTTATGGCAAGGAGGAAGAGGTGTGGGCAGTGCAGGCAGAGCACAATGTGCTCTATTAGCATCTGGCCACTTGAATCTGAGAAGTCAGTTAGGTTTTGCTCCTTCATTTGTCTGAGCTGTTTAATAAGCTGTTCATTTGGGTCAGGAGCACCATTTTCTGGCCAAAAAATTGAGCTCATCTTCCCACACCCCTTTAAATGTTTGTATTACAAATTTCGAAAACATTTCTGTAAATTCTAGCAGAAGGTGGCAAATGGAGAACTATAAATTTCCCCCCTTGGTCAACTGCTAAGCACTGCAGAGAGCAATGCTAGGGCAGGCCAGGATAGCCATTTCTGCCCTAGGAAGCCCTATCAGACAGTGTGAATCTGCATTTTGGGCATTATCCATGTGCTAGGAAGAAAAAGCATTATGTACTTTCCAAAAATACAGACAGACATACCTTCTCCCAGGGAAGCCAGTAATTCGAGTCCCAGTTCACAGGCACTGCTGAGGAAGGCTGCCACTCAGCTCCACCAGATGTGGCTGAGAAACGTGCGGCTGGTAATTTGCAAAAAAAGAGCTCTTAAATCTTAGCATATGAAAGGAGGAGACTCAATCGTGATTCATGGATGCCAGTTTGAAAACCTGTAATAAAAAGCACTCGGGGAGGTGTAGGAAGATGAGTTAAATGTTGGTGTATTAACCACTTTTGTTTGGGAAGTAGCACTTGTGGTCAGGAAGAACAGCCTCATGAACAGTTTATATAAACAAGGCAGCAATCCTTATCTGCCTTCGCAAATGCACGAGTGCCGAGATGCTGCTCAGCTGTTTCTGCATGCCTGATGTTGAGGACGGTTTTGAAAGTGTTTTCATCCTGCGTACAGAAATGAAGTAGTGTTTGTAGTGTAAAACTCAGGGTGGATTCCTCCGGCAAAGAGATTAAGAAGAGCTTGGTGCCACGGCGTTGGGTTTGCTTTTGAGAGGACAGTTTGCATTGCTGAGGTCCGTTTTGGGTACTTCTGGGGGTTAGAGCCATGCTACACCCAAATGAATATGAAATGATGAGAGAGAAGTAGTTCAACCAGGATCCAGCAGTGACACCCGGAGCCGCGTTACGTTCATCTCTGTGGCCCTCCTGGTGGGATGTGTCCAGGATCGCCTCTGAGGAGGTCCCATGGTAAGGTCTGAAATGTTGTGTTTTCAGTATATTTCCATGAGATGATGTTACTTGCTCTGAACTTACTGGTTAAAAGCATTACTGATGCATGTGTGCTGTGGTTTGGATTTCTCCCACAACAAGCATAGCCAGCCCAAAGCCTTTAAATGTGTGCACGCTCCCCAAAGGCTTGGTGTGACCCTGGGAAACTCTGATGGCTTCAGCAGTACATTTCTTATGCCCTAAGAAGTGTTCTGTGCATCACTTACTGCTGAGAGGACAGCTGCAGCGGTGGCTGCAATGGGCAGGGCACTGTAGTAGCAGGGTGTGAGTGAGGAAGAGGATGTTGTGCTTTTATCCACTCTTCTTTTCCAGTTACAAAATGTTCGCCGTATTTAAAAGGCAGTTGTAATGGGGAATGTTTAAGGTATTTCTTAGTATTAGAACTTTAGTTAATAATACTCTTGAAAAGTCACAAGTGTCTTAAGTGCTCAAAGACAAGCTGCAGCATCCAGGAGAGAGATGCTGTTCCTGAGCATGTAACAGAAGGTAAATATCAATTGCCTCAATTGATTTTCTTTTTTCTGCAATTGAAGGGCTTCAATCAAAGCTTTTTATGTTCAACTGAGGAAAAAAACCCTCTGTTGAGATATCTTTCTCTCCTCCTTTGCCTTCCTACCATGGCCATCAAATTTCTGTTCCTCCTACTGCCATTCCTGGATGGCTGCAGATGGGTATGGGCTGGCTTGAGGTCTCTTTCCATTCATTTTTCAGTGATGCATGCTGAGGAGTTTATGTAATCTGAAAATCCAACATAGCTGCTTGCGTAGTAGTCCCTGATAAGTCAAGCTGGTGCCCATTTGTAATGTATAGTTTTAGATACAAAATTTTATATGTAGTTTTAGTTTATAAGGTAGTGTCGGAGTGTCTTCTCAGGTACAAAAGTTGGCCTCCTCCTCTTTGCTTGCAATTTGTGTATGTTCATTACTGTAAAAAGGAAAGGACTATTTGGGGAAAAATAGGAAATGAGCTTATTATAGAGTCATATCTCCACTATTAACAAAATCACAGAACCTCCACTGTTCAGCGTGATTTTCAGTGGCTTTAGACCTCCCCACACAATGGCAGTGTGGGGAAACCAGCTCCTACGTCTTCAGTGGAGCTGGGGCTCATAAAGCAGCTCCTGATGAAAATTTGTAAGAACCTGGTCCCTGAGGCCTGTCCCGTGTCACTGGCAGATAGATACCATGTTCAAATGGTGAAAACAAGGAGTGAGAAGAACAATTTAGCCATCGATGCACAACAAATGAGCAGCTTCTTCCCCCTGCAGGAAGATGAGTGTTGTTATCCAAAACATACACTGCAGGGAGAGCTCTTTTCTCTGCTGCTGTGCTTTGGGCTGTGGAAGCAGTAAGGCACCAGCCAATGGGTCAGGTGTTTGGTTTTATTTTAATATTCTGTGTATTTGGTCACTCTTTTCTTTGTGTTTACTTGGGATTTGTGTATTGAGGAGCCATAGGAGAGGGCAGTGTAGCCTGAGGGTTACTGCAGAGTCCCCACAGAGCTGAGACGAGGTGAAGGATGGGGTTCAGGAGGCAAACGTGAAGCCATCGTGTTCCCCTGTGCCTGGCTTCAGCTTTCCTTGCCCCTCTGCTCCGCATCGCAGTGTGCCCACGTACACACCATCCCCAGTGGGAAAATCATCTCTGGCGTGAGAGGCAGCGTTTGCATGGAAATAGAGAGAGCCAAAGCAGAGAGAGTGACAAGGAGCAATGCCCAGCCATCACATTTCTGGATTTTATTTGTGTTTTATTTCTCCCAGCAGCACAGGTTATCTCTCTTGGCCTGGGCCGAGGGTTGTGGTATGATTCTGCTCTTCACTGTTCAGCCAGCAGCTGAAGAGAGGCTGTTGCATTTGGGGACCCCCCCTTCTCTCCCTCTTTGTCTCTCTGCCAAGATGCAGAGTAAGATTTGAAAGCCCTCAAACTGTTTAATAAAAACGCCTTGGGCCAGTCTGCCGCTAAAGCCGATGAAGAGGAATGTTCCTGGTGCTTTCGTGTGACCGATTTGATGAGATGCTGTGCAAGCAATCGGTGCTGGCTGTGCTGAAGAGGGCCAGGGGGTCAACTTTTAGGAAATAAGGACCTGTCAGGTGTTGAAGGAACAACCACAGTAAATATCAGCTGAAGTTCACAAAGCCAGTGGAAGCACTCACTGTGGCTTTGGTAGGCTTGGGGTCAGCCTTTGAGTAGCTAGCTAGTAGATAAGAAATTTGCAACACTTATTCCAGCCAACCTGTATTGTAGCCTTGAGATCAGAAAAGCAATTTCTATTTAGAAGTAGCAGTCTGTAGTGATGTACTTAATATTTGTCTTGGCAGTAAATCAGAAAGGTACCGAGCTGCTGAAGTCCATTAGGTTAAATCAAATGTAGAGGCATAAAAACAGATCCAGGCAACGCCAGAGAGTTAGGGAATAACACATAAAGCAAGAATTCTCCTAGAGATAATTAACCAAATACCGCGTCGTTACTGGCAGCAGCACGAATTCATCTGGCTTTGACGTTTCTGGGACTGCGTGCAGCAGCGCAGTGTGAGTGGTTTGGGACGGGACGTGCGTGGTGGAGGGAGACTTTCCCTTCCCTCCCGCCAGCGCGGTGCTGCTGCCTTGGGCTTCAGATGGCTGTGGGGTTCAGTCAGGGGTGCTTTGATATGCACTGAGGTGAGCTTTAGTGGCTGAGAGGTTTTATTTACAGCCTCTCAGAGGAAATCTCGGTGGGGAGAGCTGCTGGTGGATGAGACATGGGGAAAGGGAAAAGCAGGAGCAGCGTAAGGGGAGATGGCTTGACAGGCAGAGGCTTCCTGAAGAGAGAAATTGGGCTTTTATCTTCAGGTGATGTGGAGACTGTAGTCTTGTAACATCCTCTGCTGTTCCTGGCAATGCAGACCATTTCGTGGGCATGTTTTGACTATGGCAGTGTTCATATAACACTGTGCTTTTGCAAAACTGGCGATGCTAATTGAAGTTACCATTGACACTATCCAGCTTCCTAATCCTGTGTAACCTTTGGGCTCAGAAAAAGAACGTTAAAAATCTTGTTGAGAATTGTATTTTTCTTGCTTAAATAGGCATGTGAGTGCCTGGGAGACTTAACACAACAGGAAATAATTAAAGACAGCCTATGAAACTGGGTGTTGTTCCAACGAACGTGGAGCAATCCCTTGTTTATCAGCTGAGTCTCTTTGTCTGTTGAAGGTTAAAATAGGAGATGTTACTGTGTAGTATTCATCAGCTGTGCCTGCCGCACTTCCCAGTTAGAAAAGCATGCAGAGAGATTATCCATGAACATAACCTTGTTTAACTTTACAAAGTGTATGTCTGAATATGCATTTATTTGTGTGATAATATGGATTTTTAAAAAATTAAAAATCTATGTGTCTTAGCAGTGAAAGGATTCCTAACAACAGCTGCATCCTCTGTGGTTTGGCGAGAGTGGGACTTCTCTGGCTAAATTGCTGGTACTGAGGAATGGAGAGATTTACCACCTGGTTGTCCACTTACTCCTTCACTGCACACAGAATTTTCTTGAAAGTGTGAACATGGGTGCACATGGGTGAAAAGCAATATATCCATTTAGCGGTAGCACAACAGGTCCTGTTATCCTTGGGTTCACTTAGAGCTTGGTTGTATTTCTGTCCTCTTCCAAGGCAGTGCATGGCTTTGGGTGAATTGCAGTTGCTCGCACCAGAACTGGATCTGTCTCCCAAAACTCTGGTGTGGGAGCTGAACTGGATTTTAAACATTGAGGACAGCATGTGAAAAGCCATGGTGTGGGAAATTTGGATGCAGTGTTAGAATTTGGAAAGGGGAAGGGGACGGTGCTTCTCCCCACACCCCTCTAATGATTTTCTTTTGAAAATGTAACTTATTTGTAACAGGTCTGTGACAGTCGGGTTCTTATAGTCATGATTTTTCCTCCTGCGTTTTTTAAAAGATGTGTTTGGCTTCAGGCAGTGTGTGGCATCCCTGCCTGTCTCGCACATGGGTTTAGGAGGTGGAATATCTTTTTCATCGAGAGCTGGGTTTCTCCCCAGTGGAGCACCCACCCAAATGCAGCTGGCTGGGTGGGAGGGAGCGGTTTGCATTTTTAATACCAAAAGTGACACACTAAAAGAAATTTGCTGCCAAAATGTAATGCTTTTGAGTCAGACCCAGATGCTGGATGGATGTTTTAAATTCTGTTGCAGAAAGCAGAAAGCAGAAAGCTTTTCAGAAGAAGAACACCTGTGGGCCCTGTGCCAGCATGCAATCCTTATTTCCGAGCAGAATCGTCCTTCTGCTCTGAGCCCATGTCTTGTGATAGGATTTTGATGTCCTCCTTTTTTCTCAAGCCATTTCCAGCCTTCTCTGGTGCGTTTAAAAACGCCAGCAATTTTCTTTAAAGGCCTGACCCTCCTGTTAAGCGCCTGCCCTCTCTGTTGTTAGGAGTGAGAGCCAGGCTGGGCGAAGGGCTGCACCATACCCAGGATTTACACGTCCATCAGGAAGATTCCTCAAACACTCTTGGGCAAAGGAGCCCGGGGGTCAGGAGTGTAAAAGAAATGAGCTATTGAGCTCCTTTCTGTGCTTACAAGTGATTATGTGGTTTTATTGCGTGACTGAAGTGGGTGATATTTCTGTTGCTGACAGGGAAGGCCGCTCTAATGCTCACATTAAAGGAGATTACCAAAGAATCGGAGATGTTATGCTGAAGAACATTCAGAGTATGAAGGTAGGAATGATCCTAGAACTATTAAGCTTTGACACGGATTAACATTAGCGTGCTTTTCATTTTCGTATGATGTTGCCTCTTATGCTGGTTTTTGCCAATTGTAATCAAGGCTTATGCTAGAAAAGTTTCCTTTGATGAAGTAGCAAGCGTTCAGTGAGCCCTGAGAATTCAGAATTGCAAGCTGATTTTAAATCATCCAGCCACTCTCCAAATATAGGAACAGCGAACACAAAAGTTCAGGAACATTGCATTTCCAGTTCTTTTTCTTTCAAATAAGAAGGCAAAACATCAGAATTTGTGTGGCTGAAGAGACTCTTAAAATGCCAAATGTGCCTACTTGTGCATGCAAATATAAGTGGTAAGTTACTGCAGGAGTGTTCACCAAAACCTGGACATTGTTTTGATTTGGGAAACTTACATTTGTGCACTATGATAGAGAAAAGGTTTTTAAATAAATATGAATAATTGCCTTTGATCCCTTTAAAGCCAAAAGCAAAACTACATGTATGAAGTGTAAATCTAGGCGTAATGTTCAGTAGACTTTGCATCTGTTCTTAGTCTGTCCAGAGCAGTATTTTTGCTGCTCTGTGTTACTGAACAAAAAGCATGGAAGGCAGGCACGGAGCCTGTGAAAACCCCACGGACTTTTACAGTTCGGATGGATAACGCACAGCTCACCTCATTAATGTTGTACATCCAGGTCAGTGTGTGGCAAATCTGCACCTTTGGCATGTGGATCTCAAAGCGCTTTTGAAACTGTCCCATAAATCTTTCCTTGGTGGTGGCCACTTCAGCACCCTGCAGGCAGTAAATGGAGCAGCCTGGAGTCCTTGGCTGGAGGAAAGGGCGGTTTAATCTTTACAGCCCTCCTGAGACGCTGGTTAGTGCTAGGCTTATCTTTTGGAAGGACATGGGGATATGCAGAGAGGTTCAGTGATGTGCGAGTGCTTATACAGCAAACCAGAAAAGGGGAACGTAGAAATCTTGATTTGCAGCCCCCAACACAGACAGCTCTGTCACCAATAATGTGGCCTTACCCTCTCTGCAGTGGTACTTAGCAGGAACTGCTTTTTGTCCTTAAGACACACTTCAGAGACATTGGAAGGAGCACAGGGGTGCACCTTTTCGCAAACAATTTGTGGAGTCTCAGCTTCTGACAGCCTTTGCTTCAGCTCTTGGTACCTTCCAACATTAAATTGTCTGTCCTTCGCTGTCTGCAGGTCCTGTGGCACTGCTTCAATGGCAGCATACAGTCTTTGCTGTAACTTAGACCTGTCGGGGTGCCTTCACCTTCACCCTTTCCCACTAGATGATTTTGTTCCCTGTGCTTTGAGAACCACCACTGCTGATAAGCATGGATATGTAGAGGAAATAGGCAAAACCCAATTTGACTTAAAGAACTGCACAGGAAAGAATGAAGTTAGTTAAAACTCCGCATATTTATCATGAGACCTATTAAAAGGCCTGAAAACTGACACTCCTTATTTAATTATCAGAAAGAAGTTAAGAGCAAGTAATTAATGGGCAGCCTCTGTAGTAGTCCAGAGGGTCTGCTGCATCTTTGCTTGAGTTACAGGCTCGTAAAATGAATATGCAGTGTATGGAGAAAGTGGCTTGGCTGTAGGGAAGGTGTATTTCTAGTTAGGATATTGCAAATCACAGGAGAGGAGGAGTTGATTGGAGATGTGTCAAAAAGCAGGAGCTTTAAAATAAGCCAGACTGTCTCCTCAAGTCCACTCAACATAACGCATTCAATTTCATGTTGTTGCTGGTTAATATTCCACAAGGTACTGGGAGACTTCTGTCTGCTGCTCAGGGAAGCTCTGTGCATCCTGAGGAACCACTTTACCTTTTGCAAAACACAAATGAAGCCCCCGTGTTCAGAAAAATGCTGCGAAATTGTTTTAGGTGTGACTCATGAATGTCTGTGATACTGAGACCTTAATGAGATCACATATTTCATGCAAACCTCATTCACTTGCTGGTGCATAACTCCCCTGCTGCCAGTGGGATCATCTTAGAGACTGCACTAAGGAGAAGAGGACGTGATCCAAGGATGAAGAACTCTAAAATACCCATTTCTGTCAGAGAACTCCTCTATTTTCGTGTGTGTTTGGATTCCCAGGAGATGCAACTTCTCATTAATAATAGAGGAGCAGAAGGCAGAAGTCCAGTTACCTGCAGCCCAAAAGCACCAAAGGGAACTGGGGCAACCAAATCCCTTCATCCTCCTAGGAAACCCCGTTTTTCAGGGTTCGCACTGTCTAGCTCTCTGCCTGTTGCACCTATGCTTGCATGAGCTGTGTTCATGTCATCTCCTTGCCTTTGGATTTCTCCCTGATAAGAGGCTCAGTTTTGTTTACTCACGTACTCTTGTTTTACAGGGGATGCGGAGGGGGCGGCGGGGGGCGTACTTCAAACAAGTAACACCATCTCTTCTTTCCAAGTGAATATTAGAACATTGTGTTGTGGGGTGATTTTGCTTGCAAAATCCCAACTGCTGTGCAAGCTGGGTTTTTTATTGGAATATGTTTGGGCTGAGTCATGTCTCAGTGATTGCTAATGGCTCTGCCACATGCTCTTTTCTTTGTGCATGTAAGCAACTGACAATTCACCTGTGGAAGCACGATGAGATTTTAATGGAGCTGGAGAATGGGATCAAGAACTCACGCAAGCTGGAGACCTTTTGCAGGGATTTCGAGCTACAGAAAGTCTGCTACTTGCCTCTCAACACCTTCCTTCTCAGACCTTTACACAGGCTTATGCACTACAAGCAGATAATGGAGAGGCTTTGCAAACACTACCCACCGAGCCACGTAGACTTCAGGGATTCAAGAGGTAAGTAAGAGAATAGACACCAATTCCTGGAGGTGGGGAGTGGCATTCAAATCCATTAGAGGTGCATGGCTGGACAAAAAAAAACCAAAACCAACACCTGTTTTTTTAAGCCTACATTGAGAAAGGATTGAGTTGCAAAATCCAACACTCAGAAGACCAGAGATGGTAGGATTAAGGTTGCACTTGTGTACACATTATGCCACAGTCTGGACAAGAACCTGGAAATGAAATCTGCTGGGGTCATTAAACACACAGAAACGACGTGCAGTTCAGGAAGTCACTTGAACCAAAAACAGCTGGGAGGTTAGGAGGGAGCACCGGGAACACGCCATACGTGCTTGTCTTGTTCCTGGCTTTCCCTGGAGATCTGCTAGGAACACAGAATACTGGCCCAGGTGAACCCTTGGTCTGACCCAGTATGGCTTTTGTTACTGTGTCTCTACGTATTACTTGCCTTTTTCCAGACGCGGTTTGCTCTATTACCATTTCCATGACTTGTTTCAGTAGCTCAAATCTGCCAGTGTGGGTTTTTTTTCCCAAATGCGATGAAATTTTCCTCCTGTAGTCTGAACTAACTGCCTGCTCTTTGGTTTTGATGTTTTGTTTTCCTCCTTTCTTACCCCCATCCCCCACCCCTGTTGCAAGCTCTCTACATTTAAAGATAACGGTGTTACCTGTAGGGTTGGAAGGACTTGGGCAGGAAGCAATGCCCAGCACAGCTGCTGAGGTAGCTGGCCAAGTCCCCTTAGATGCCACACAGTGAGGCCCACAGCAGACAACACACAAAATGCAGAGGTAACTTGACCTGTAGCAATAGGAAATGCCACGGGGGTCTGTGGCCCTGAAGTGCTGCGTGACACAGGTGTTTGCCCGAATGTAGCTACTGCCTGAATGATCTCAAGGAATGCAGTGAGCAGTGTCTTCATCTCCTTTAGGCAAGGCGAGATGATGAGGATGATGTGTCTGTTCCTACCTCCCCAGAGAATGCAGCAGCCTTTAGGGTTTGATTCCTGCTCTGCTTTTGAAATGGATACCAACACAGCATTTAGGGGTGAAAATAAGAGAGCATGAGAAGGGCAGTGTGACTCTGGGACTTGCAGATTTTTGTTACAGATCAGAGTGTAAAAGAAGCAAAAACCGTGGGAGACGTAGATGTGAATCTCAACAGAGAGCACTGGTCTCCCAGGAACAGGTGGATGAACTGCACACTGAGCAGTGGTGTAAGAAGGGAAAACCACTGTTACTGTTTCCTTGACTGTATTTTTTAACACAAATGGCTGTAACTGCTCTTCTAGTACTGAAGTCAGTCAGTGTGTCTGGCCCATTCAGAGACTGCCTATCAGTTCAGGTCTATCAAGGTTGGTCCTCACATACCTGAGGGCACAGGGAGCCAGTCCACGAGCAGGTCCCCCAACAAAGATTAAGTGGTGGAGTGATTTTCAGCTTAGTTCCCTGAGTTGACTTACTATGTTGTTGCACAGCTAAAAAGCAAGGCGTGGGAAGCAGATTTTGGCTTCTGCTGCTGCAGAGTGGGACTTTGTAGTGGCTGCTTTCTCTTGTGCTGCACCTGATCCTTCTTCACACAGCAAAAATCCCCTTCAACAGTGGAGATTTTCCTTAGCAAAACCACTCCCAGGTGTTAGGTCATTCGTTGTTGGGTGTCTCTTTGGAGAGAATGAAGTAAAGCTGTTATGAGGCTCAGCTGTGAGCAGCCCTTTTAGTTGTCCTCATTGCTGGCCGAGGACAGACCCCAGGATTACTGTGTTTACCTTGTGAAATAATAACATAAATGACACCACAATTTCCTGGTGTTTTCAAATATGGACCTGACCCAGTGTGCTGCAGGCAGGGGGAAAATGTATTTTTTTTGTTCAAGCATAGAGAAGACCCCTCAATGAACTGGAAAGGTAGGAAATGAAGTTCTTTAGGAGAACCCATTCATTGGTGCTGTGAATTGACTCGAATATTCCTGTGAAGTTCCTGTGGCTAAAACAGAGCAAACTTTTAGTTGAGGAAATAGATGTCTCTTCATGACAACACTCCACTCTCTCCTCTCCACTCCATAAGCCATCTTTCTTTTTGAACATCCTTGGAAGTTTTTAATAAGCATTTTATGGTTTTGTCCATCTAGCTGCTTTGGCTGAGATTTCTGAAATGGTGGCTCAGCTCCATGGCAACATGATAAAGATGGAGAACTTCCAGAAGCTGCATGAACTCAGGAAGGACTTGATAGGCACAGACAATCTGGTGATACCAGGAAGGGTAAGTACCAGAGCTGTGATCGAGGTCTGATGCCATTTCAAAGCAACAGGTATGTTTTAGAAACCTGTTTCTTAGGCGCGGCTGTGAAATTGCCTTTCCTCATATGAACCATTTTCTCTCACCAAAACCTATCAAATGTAAACATAATAATACCGTAGAAAACAGCAGCCTTTCAAGTGGGAAGAGGCAATCATCTTTATTACCTTTTTACTGATTTTATTAGGTTTATCTTGTGTATAGGTTTGGATGGTTGTAGGCAATTCCAAACAGGTGGCAGAAATGTAATATTTATCACAGTGTTCTAAGCTTGAGCAGGTGCTCCTTTCCTCATTTCTTGCTGCTCTTGATTTTTCTTTTTTCAACCTGCGATGCTGGAGCACAGCAGATTAAAGGAGCATAAGACGTGAGTGCTGGAGGACCTTCAGCCCTTTCACCATGCCTGGCTTTGAAACTCATGGCCCTGGGGACGAGCAGTCTCTTCAGTTCACATGTAACATTAGGCAATAATTTTTGAGACAGTGCTGCCTTAAGCAAACACTTTTAATTGCGTTACAAAAATACCAACATCTCTTTCTTAGGTGTCATGCTTTTTTAAAAAGAGACTTATTTCAGAATAAACGAGCCTCAACGTAGTATTTGTAGCTTTTTTTCTACTTTTCTAGGCGCATGTATCTGTGCGTGCAGTCTTGAGAGCTGGCTGTTGCTGAAGTGATTTCTTCCCCACTCCCTGGCCTTTGTATGTAATACACCAAACCAGTACTTCTGGCAACCGAAGTGCCAGGAAAAAATGCATTGCCAGACTGTTCTTGCCCCTTATGTGTTTCTGGGCTACAGCTTGGAAAGAAATACGAGTTTTGCATTGAACTGCAAACACGGCAGCGCTTGAACTTGCCCCACAGCCTGGGGGCCATGTCTGTGTCTGCTGCCACAGTGGGGTCATGCTGAGCCCTCGAGGGTCTACTTCATTTAAGGATTCAGACATTTCGAGAAAGGGGTTGGAAGTCAATGTGCCACTGGGAAGGCAGCACCGAGCATGGGTATTTCTCCATTTGTGGCTGTTCCCTGCCTCCCAAGCAGCTGCCACGGCTCCTTCTAGTGATCCACAGACTGTCCATGTCCTTGGCAAGCCCCTCGGGACATTTCACAGCCCGTGCATCTCACTATCACATGAAATTAAATGCTATCATTGGTTGTTCCTGCTACCCTATGCTATTTAAAGGCAGAGCAGTCTTCCTCTCTCAGGAAGTCCAAGAAAAAAGCAGATGGGGTCAGAGATTTTTGCCAAGGCCAAAAGCATTGACCACCACACTCTGGCCCATGCCCAAGGTGTTGCTGCTTCTAGCCCTTTGGCCACTCTTCTGGCCCAGCGGCTGAAGTCCCTGCCCCAGCCCTGCACTGGCACGACGGTGCCTGAATTCCACACCTCTCTGGTGGCCAGCAACAGTTTCAGGTGGCCTCTCTGGGAGCGTGAGCTGACCACCATATAGGGATAACCACCTCTAGCCAATTTTTCCACTCCTGCACAATGCAGGTAGGGGGACCAGACACAGCACAGCAACCCTAAAGCGACCAGAGTCTCTCTCTGAACAGATTAATCTTCGAAAGCCAGTTTATTGCTAAGCTGCAGGTGATTCTGATGCTTTATATGCCTCTTACATGCCCAGTTATGAGTAGAATGACCTTCGAAAGACTGTCATAAATAAATACAAACCTCTGGGCAGAAACTGATGTTTTCATGGGTTTCAGATAAGTGAAAGAGTGAGTTAGGGTGTAGTTCACAGTAAGGCCGGGAAATCCAGCATTTTGAAAGTTTCAGATGTGCTACTTTTCCTCTAATTCCATCCCTAAACATTCTTAAGCCGTTTGATCTGAGGTAATGTACTGTGTTGTATGCTATGGATGGCGCTGGGATAACTCACCCTGCCAGACAAACGTCCCTCTTTGGCTGCTGCCGATGGTGCTGTTGGTTTGTGTAGCTGAGTGTGCGTCTCCATGAAGAGCTACGTATGCCTTATGCGCAACAGAAGCTTACCAGTGGCTGACCAGTAGCAGACAGGCCAATTCTTCATTAGTTTTTACATCATTTGTGACATGAAAAATACACATACAAAGCCAGTGAAAGAGGGAGCCATCTACAGGAATCGGTGCTACGTAGAGAAAGTTTTGCTTAGCTGAGTTTTCATAAAATGAATGAAAGACTTATGAGTTTATCCTAAAGATGGTTACAAATGGAAATAAATAATATCTTTAACATATTCAATAAAGAAAATAAAAAGTCTTGGTGACTGATAGCCAGGTCAGTCCTATGGCCAAGCAGCCATTTTTAGTTTAGCGTAATAAATTATCATCATTTTTGCAGAAGATTCATTTGTTTTGTATTTCTTTCCCACAGGAGTTCATTAGACTGGGCAGTCTCAGTAAGTTGTCTGGAAAAGGTTTGCAGCAGCGGATGTTCTTCCTGGTAAGCAAGAAGACAGTTGTTCTTTTTAATACAATTAAATGTAACTATAAGCAACTATTAGGCAAACTATTAGACGTGAATTGGGAATTACAGTGAGTATTTTTGAACAGTCTTATTTAAGTTAACATTGTACGTCACCTCTGCAGCTGGTTGTTTACAACTTTTGTTTCTGTCCAAACCCAGTGTGCTCTTTGTAACTGTTTCTCACAAAGACAAAACTTACTTATTTTTATATGACACTGCGAATATAACGATGAAATAATATCTCTCATCAACATTGTGTTAAATAAAGGCAGAGTCACTTTAAAATGAAGAGTGTCGCCAGAATACACGTGTGATCATTGGCAAAATTCAATCCCCCTCTAGTGGCTGATGCACGTAGCTTCCTCAGTCATTGCTATCGGCTTGCAGATGTTCTTGCGAGAGCTGTGTGTCACACCACAGAGTATCATTTTCTTGATGCAGCTCTCTGGTTGAGGAAAAACATCCTTTCACCCAGATGGCACAGGGAAAATATGCTATTTGGATTCAGGCCCTCAACAAAATGCAGGCAGTCATTTGACTTGCTTTGGGCAACTCTACAAGTGGAGATGATGTTTGATTTCTTCACCTTGATGTTTCTAACCTAAAGCCACCTAAACCAGGTCTCCCAGCTCCTTTCTGAGTGTGGGGAGTAATAGACAGCCACTTACTTCCTAAGAGTTAAGTGGGACACACCTCTTTCAGGTGTGCTTGCTGATCTCTCCACGCAAATCAAAAGAAAATATTGGTGAAATACACTTATTTTCCACAGCTTCAAAGTGTGAAATGCATTCCTTGGTTTCACTGCTATTGGGGCTTGTTAGTTCTGACCCAGAGATCATAAAGGGGATATTAGAAGGCACTAGAAGATAGCCAGTGGAAAATTGTGGGAATGTAAGTGCCTGAGACTAGCTGGGAAGGCAGGTAGGGAAAATAACAGGTGCTCATACTATGCACTGGGATATTGTGGAAGCCAGTATTTTGGATTCATGCACTAGAACTGCCATATAAATAATCAGCCAGCACTGGCCAGCTTTCCCATATTTACCATTCTGGTTTTTTTTCCTACGTACATACACACCACCATCGTTCTGATAGTGCTTGTTCTTGCTTTTTAGTTCAACGATATCTTGTTGTACACAAGTAGAGGCCTGACAGCGTCCAATCAGTTTAAAGTCCACGGGCATCTTCCGCTGTACGGCATGACAGTAAGTACGAGGAGAACTTGTAAGGGATTTGTGCTTAAATGCTTCAACACAAAAGTGGAAAAAAAGAGGCATTTTGGGGCACAGCTTCCCCATAAAGCAAACTTCTCATTAGAAGTGTTCTTTATTTTTTTTAAACCGTAAATGTAACCATGATTCTTACAAGCAGTTCATCACCAATTGCTTATAGGTGTTCATCACCATTGTACAAGGCAAGTAATGGGTAGTGACAATCTCAGGTCTATTAAAAAACCCCACAACATTTCCTGATGTTTTCAGCTCTGTATCTTGAAGCCAGAGCAGTGGGAAACTGGTGGCAATGTGTCAGTCATAGCTGTTGTTGCTGTTCATCTGGAAAACAGCCAATTCGTGCCAGTAACACCTAATTGCCTCTTCTTATATGATTTCAAAAATATTTTTGCTAGTTTCAAACACTTTCAGTCCCCCCATTATTTTGATTTGAACTTCTCATGGGTTTGTATGTATCCCGTACGGGTTTTCTGAGAACTGAGTTGAGTAATCACTACCACAGTAACTGAATTTCTCTGAACACCTGTGGGGCTTCAAGTTTTATCTGGCATTTCTAGGAATCTACGCAGTTATTGATGTCCATTTGGCGTGGACTTGTTCACAACAACAGAACTGTGTTACGCTGCAGTGTCCAGAGCACTCCCAGCCTTTAACATGCCCTTTGGTATGATAAATCGCTCTTCTGATAAGAATACCATTATTTTATTATTTTACTCTTTTTTTGACACAAAGCAGACAAAGGCGTGCTTTTGGTTTAAGAGATTATCATAAACTTGTTGCTTTTGCAGCTTGCAGCCCACCTTTTTTTTTTCTCAATGCCTAGCTCGAAATGTTGTTTGTGAACATTTCTCTTAGTTTTCTTTTCCCCCGTGGTAGCAGCTTGCTCAGTTCACTGTTTCACCTCAGGAAATGCGTATTTCTTGCAATCTGACTGTATTTGGGCTTTTATCCTTCAGATAGAAGAAAGTGAAGAGGAATGGGGGGTTCCTCATTGTCTGACGCTACGAGGTCAACACCAGTCCATCGTTGTTGCTGCAAGGTAATTCAGGGGAGACAACAGACACCTGTAAACTGTATTTCTCTGCAGCTCTCACAGTGGGACAGATAGAAAAGCAGAGGGGCAACATTTTGTTTTAATTTGCTCCTTAAAAAAACCCAAAAAATGATGAAAGGGACAAAATAGAGTGGCAAAAATAACTCCTAAGGTATTAGGAAAAAAACCCTAGCATCTCATGTCTGTATTTATTTATTTAAATGAGAAGTAAGCTCAGCTTGTGACAGTTTCTTAGAGTGCTTTCAGCCTGTATGGAAGTGAATAAACCCTGAATTTTCATTGTTAGTACCCGTGCTGAAATGGACAAGTGGACCGAGGACATTCAGATGGCCATAGACCTGGCAGAGAAAAGCAGTGGCCCTGCCCCTGAGTTACTGGCCAGCAGCCCACCTGACAACAGTAAGTAAATGCTGGAGAGGAGGTTTTACTCACTTTTGGCAGTGTGATTGGTGATTGCCTCTAAGCAAAGTGGTGAAAAATCCTGGCCACAGGTCAAACTGATACATTTGAAGTTGATTTATAGATACATATATATATTTATATATGTGCCATTTTAATGTTCTTGTTGATGTTAGCAGAAAGTTTTACTGAATAGAGAAGTGACTTAAGCGTAATGGTTCCAGGAAATATTAAACAAGACTTGGGCAGTGCTGTCCTTGGAAGGTATTAAAAGCACCAGCAAAGCACGGTAGTTAGTCTTTGGTTCTAACACTTGCAGAAACACATTTAAAAAAATAAAAGTCTACTTAACAACTGCACAAAATTATTTCTAAAAGTGTGTTTTAGTTCACAGTATGGTGGACAGAATTGATTTGTTTAATTTTTCCAATTATATATGTTGTTGCATAGAGGAAGAAAGATGCTTTTTCCCTGCATTTCATAGAGTCTCCTGATGAAACTACTGTAGACCAGGAATCTGAGGACGACCTCAGTGCATCCCGCACCTCACTCGAACGTCAGTCACCACACCGTGGCAACACTACGGTGCACGTCTGCTGGCACAGAAATACCAGTGTTTCAATGGTCGACTTTAGTATTGCTGTGGAGGTATCTGCCTCAGAACGATCTCAACTGCAGCTCCCGACTCGCTCTTGCATGACAATTTCCTTTTTGCTCCTCCTTCATAAGTGCCCTATTCCCTTCTCTCCTTCTGGGGAAGCTCCAGGCGCACCGATTTACTAAACTGACTCCAAACGGTGGCATAAACCATCAGCCAAGAAACACAGATCCTCTCCATTTGTGCATTTTTAAAAAATCAGTCAGAGCAGTAATTTTAGAAGTAATTTTAGAAGTAACTATCCAAAAAAATGCTGATGCCCTCTAAAATTGAAAGCAGGTCAAACCGTCTTAATGCTTGCAGTTACAGAGGCATTAAGTCATTGCCCGAGCGGAAAGGATATTGTCTTTAGCTGCTGCAGCCAGAGTTTTAATTCTGTGTATTACTAACGTACTTTCTTTACCTAGCCATCTTTTCTGGAACCTTGTCTCATTGCTCAGTCTCATCTGCTTTTTCTTTATTTGCGTTTTCCACCTCAAAATAAAAATCCTTCCCCCCTGCCCCAAATCACAGCTAAGCCAATTTGAGATGCATTTGTTAATGCTGTTCTCAACAGACGAGATGCAGACATTGACTTTTCAAAGATTAAAATGAAAGACTCCTGGTGCAGCGTAGGGCTTAGGATGAGGTGGTAACCCAAGAGAGGCTCCAGGGAGCTTAAAGAAAATGGTAAAAGGAATCTTAAAGCTGAGTCGAGTTACACTCACGAGGCAGCCCATCAGGCCATGGTTGCCCTAGAGAAGATGCAGAACATAGAGGGGCAAGGACATAGTTTGTGTAACTGCCTCTGTTTTTAAACAGTGAGGTGAGTTGGTTGCTGAAAATTATTCTGTGTGAGAAAACACCGTAAATCCATGCGGGTGGATTTCCTGCTCTTTATACCCTTAAATCCTGCAAGGGAAGAATAGTGCAGCACAGCGCAAGGTCTCGTAATTTTCCCTAAAGCAGAGGGCTTATTGGCAGCAGGTGTAAAACTTAAACCAGTTCTAATTCTAACAATTAAAACATGTAGTCAGGCAAACCTTCTGGTCTGAGATTGCTTATTTTTGTTCCTCCCCGTGCCTCAATTGAATGCAAACAAAGCAGCGAAGACCAAGCACGCCCTGGAGACATCTGTTGTTCTGTGAAAACATCTCCAGCTCCACTGCTGTTCCATGCGTGGCAGGTTACGCTCATGCTCACCTCATCCTGTCGGTGGCTCTCACGTCAGCATTATCGTTTATTTTCTTTGTGTCTCTCCCTCCTTTCTGTCTCTCTCGTGGTAGAAGATCCTCTCTCTGTCAGTGACTGTACTTCCCTACCTGCTGGACTGATCAGTGATCAGCGGCCTGTTTCCATTTCATATGTCTGCTGGTACCGAATGCAAAGCCTGTCCTTTTATGATATCCTCCAGAGTAATGAGGTAACAGAAAATTAAGGACTACACCTGTAACCTAGGGCAAGGAGGCAGCAGTCCAGATAGCAGAGAATGGGATGATTTCAAGCAAAGCCTTTAATGTAGATCCAAGAGTGGTGAAGACAGAGCATTTTCAATAATGTTTCATTTGTAGTAAATACAGCAGGACCACCAGGCTTTGACTGTTAAGCTTTACAGATTAAGTGATTACCTTCTGCATTATATCATGAGAATGCTGTAAACAGCTGTTTTGGTCTAAGTGAGGGCCCTTACAGTCAATAAGGAATGGAAAGTAATTAATAATTTACTGAGAACTCTCCTTCCTTTGCAAGGCACAACGATGCTGGACTTTACATTTTCACTCTGTGAAAAGCAGTTTTTCAGAGTTCAGGCAGACATGAAGTACTTGCTTGGTTATAGCTTCCTCCTCCTTTTTGTTAAAATATCCGAAATCCAGCTGAGAATAATGTTAACAGTCCTTGCTTTTGAAATCTTTGAAAAGTTACCATATGAACTCACTGGGTACTGAGAGTTCAATCCCTATCTGCAATTCTAAAGTGTGTCATGATTTCCCTTCACATCACAAATTCATGTCAGACTTTCTGTTTCCATTATTCTATTTAAGTATCATTTGACAAGAGCAAAGACAGACTAGGCTAACGAGACTGATGGTTTGTAATACATTAGTGAAAGACACCTCAATTGAGAAAAAAAAACAAGTGTAGAACCTTGAAGTTTTTGGAACAAAAAAAATGTGTTACTTTAAGTAGAAAACTTGGTAGTAGAAAAATGCAGAAGAAAAATATATCCATTCAACCAAAACATCTTCACATACAACAGGGTCACATACAACCAGATAATAGCAGATCATTTTTCTTAATGATAATTAAACTGCAGGTACCTTTCACTGCTTGATTGGGCAACTTTTGGTCTGTTTCAGAACCAGCTGTCTGGAAATCTCCTCCGAAAGTTCAAAAACAGCAACGGGTGGCAGAAGCTTTGGGTGGTGTTCACCAACTTCTGTATGTTCTTCTACAAATCGCACCAGGTAACAGACTGCATGGGGGTGTGTGGCTGGAAAGGACCCTTTGGGTTTTTCAAAGCAATAGCAGAGGAAAAAGAGACATCAGTCACAGATGCTGCAGGTGCAAGAAGCAGCTGCACTGGTCACAGCTCCACAGCCTTTACTGGGGCTGGGCCGCAGAGCAGAGCCCGCTCTCAGTCTGCTCCCTTGGCAATTGAAGAACCGGGCTCATGTCCTGAAACTGAGGAAGTGTGGACTGGATGAACGG